GTAACTTAATTACGTTTTTACTGGGTTTCCTGGTCATTAGTATAAATAGGATTTCATTATTCAATATATGAACCTTTTGACAAATTTAATATTGAGATATATTCGAGAAGCTATTGTGCTTTTCAACATTATTTTTCTTAGAACATTCTGAACTTATCAAGAGGATTCTTGTGGCGTTCAACACCGAGTGTGGATCACGTGTTGTGTAATCAAGAGGTCATTCAAATTTCATTTTTGTTTGGTTGTTTGGTTCATTAATTTTTGGTTCAAACTCNGAGTTCATTCAAACTTCATTTTTGTTTGGTTGTTTGGTTTATTAATTCTTGGTTCAAACTCGAAATTGAGATTATTCTTTGAACTTTTTTGGGATTTTCAATCTCGTTGTGGGTTGTGTAGTGTTCGTTGTTACGTGGTTCTCATCAGTTGGTACTAAAACAAGGCTCCAAAATAATCAGGTTATATCTATTGTTTCTTGTTTGAGTCATTTTTTCTTTTTTTTTCCATCGTTCTTCGTATTTTTGATCCAGAAAATTACAAAAAAAAAAGAGTCAAAGTTGTTTTTCAGACTAATTACAAGTCCAAATCAAATTTCCATTGTTTTGTTGGATTTGTAGTTGAATTCCCGAGTTAAAAAAACCGAAAAAAGGTATTGTTAATATCGGGAAATTTCCAACAGTTTAGATTTCAGTTTTGAGTAAAAAAAAAGAGGGATCATTCAAAATTTATTCCATTTTACATTCTTGAATAGTTCTTTGAATTCTTTCTTCATCTTTTCACTTCTTTCGTATTTTTGAGTTATTTTTCATCTTTTCTTTTCTTTCTCCTATCACAATTCGTGATCAATACTCTGTTGGATCCATGGGAATACAATATTGGTTGAGTTCACCTTGTACTTTGAAGTACTTGGGCGAAAGCACTGAGTGATAAAAGGCAAAGTGACGAGATTAATAGAGAGAAAAAGTCAATAATTTGGTGATACACGAGTGATCATTCGTAAGGCATAAATTCAATAGTGGCATAAATTCAATAGAATTAGGATGTCTGACAAAGATGTTCCAATTTAAATAGGCAGCCGAATCAAAACCGCATGGTGGATCATGTAATAAGGCAGTTTGAGCGGGTGCTTGGGGATATGAGTTAAAAGCTTCATAAGTTAGATACATTGGTGGCAAACCTTCATAGGGACAATCAAATGCAAGGAGATCAGGTAGGTGGGAGCCTAGGATGGATGTACATGATGATTATGGATTTAGCAGTGATATGGATGATGGTGCATCGATGGTAGGTGATATTGGTAGAATGAGAAGTAGATGAGGTAGGTTTGAAAGAAGGGGTAGAAGTCATTTTCGAGACCAAGTGGATGGGAATATGGACAATATTAAGATATCAATTCCACCGTTTAAGGGAATGAATGATCCGGGGCTTATTTAGAGTGGGAGAAGAGGGTGGAGTTATTTGATTGCTATAATTGTTCGGATGAGAAGAAAGTGAAAATTGCAGTTCTTGAGTTTGTTGACTACTCTATAACTTGATGTGATCAAGTGATTACATCAAGGAAGAGGAACTGGGAGCGATCAGTTAATACTTGGGATGAGTTGAAAACTATCATGAGGAAGCAGTTAGTATCTAGTCACTATTACAGGGAGCTTCACCAAAAATTGCAAGGTTTATATCAGGGGCCGAAGAGTGTGGAAGACGACCATAAGGAGATGGAAATTTTGATGATTATGGCGAATGTGGAAGAGGATCGGGAAGCTACCGTGGCTCGTTTCTTAAATGGGTTGAACAGATACATTCCTAATGTTGTGGAGTTGCAGCATTATATGGAAATTGAAGACATGTTGCATGTAGCCATGAAGGTGGAGAAACAGTTGAAGAAGAAGGGGACAACTAAGCAACCATTGGCTGCTTCGAGGTCTTATTCGTCTTGGAAATCGAAGTGGAATAACAAAGGTGATGGAGCTGTTACAAAAGGAAGGACTGAACTACCAAAGGGAAAAAATGATGGAGCTAGTAGAACAACTTCCAAAACAGAGCTACAACCAGCTAGAATCTGGAAAATCAAGCGCTTCAAGTGCTTGGGAATTGGACATATTGCTTCTCAATGTCTAAATAAAAGAATGATGATAGTACGCAATGGAGAGGTAGTGAGTGACGTGAGGATGATTATGAAGGCATGCCGTCTTTGGAGGAGGTTAGTGAAAGAAATGACACTGAATTTGTTGTTGGTGAGTTACTGGTCACGAGGCAAGCTCTCAACACTCACGTCAAGACAGATGACTTGGACCAGCAAAGGAAAACATATTCCATACACGATACCACATTAATAACATGGTAATGTAGCGTGATCATTGATGGGGGGAAGTTGTACTAATGTGGCTAGCACAAATATTGTTGAAAAATTGGGATTAACCTTATTGAGATACCCTAGGCCATATAGGTTACAATGGTTGAATGATAGTGGAGAAGCTAAGGTGAATAAGATGGTGTTGATTAGTTTATGCATTGATAGATATAAGGATGAAATTATGTGTGATGTGGTACCTATGCATGCAGGGTTTAT